GGGGAAACAAACTCATGGTACCATAAGCATCGATGGTGAAGAGCTAAAGAAGACAACGTCATACAAGTACCTAGGCAGTCACATCTCAGCGGAAGGAGGCTTACAAGAGGAGGTCACAAGCAGGATGAACACAGCATGGATGAAATGGAAAGCCTTGACAGGAGTTCTGTGCGACAAAAGAATGCCAGTGCATCTCAAGTCCCAACTGTACCGGACCGTTATCCGTCCAGCAGCACTGTATGGCAGTGAGGGCTGGCCTTGTACACGGAACGAGGAGCGCAAGCTCAGTGTCATGGAAACAAGGATGCTACAATGGACGGGAGTCACAATGAAGAATCATATCTACAATAGAATGATGCTATACGAGCGCAAATGAAAGTAGCTCCAATTGCCCAGAAAATGCAGGAAAAGAGGTTATGATAATAGGGGCATGTGCGCAGAAGGGATGAAAGTCACATCACGAAGTTAGCCCTGGCCGTGGAGGCACCAAGCCAAGAGGTAGATCCAAGATGAGGTGGATGGACAGAATCAAGGCCGACCTGCGAGAACTTGGTACAGACGAAGACCTTGCCTCAGATAGGACGACGTAGAGACGTCTGACAAGAAAAGCAGACCCTGCATAGGGGGACACACGCGAGGATAAAAAATGACCAGGAGACGCGAGACCGCATTGCACACATTGTCTTAACAAGCCTAATCGCGTACTCAGCACGTTTATACTTGTTATTCATCTCGTCCAAGTTTTTCACTCTTTGGAAACAGGGAAGAACAAACTCAAGTTTGTTAAGACAATGTCCGCAATGCGATTTCGCGTCTCTTACAAGGAGAGGATACTTAGTCGAAAGCACCAATCCAGATGAGATATATATCAGCTTAAAGCGCTTAAAACGCTGATTCCAAATCTATAGTTCATAGCTGCGGAACGTTTTCGTAGAAGGAGTTATGAGGGGTGTTTCCTTAGGGGGTTGAGGGGCCCTCCGCAGGTCTCTCCTTACTTATGAGCACTGCAGAGGAGTACCAATTGGTGGGATCTGGCCTAGTGGTAGGTGAATTGCTTGATGAGGAGAGTGTCAAGGTTTGAATCCCTTTCCATGCAACTTTATCGCAATTTTTGAGCTCTTAAATGGCTTTGGAGCCCCTAAAGCCTTGAATTTTTGATGATTTTGATGCTTAACGAAATTAGAGGTGTTAAAAAAACTAATGTAATATGAGTACTATAGTCTTCATTGCTATCTTCATTCAGATTACTTACCATTAGGCCAGTTGCAACATGGTACTCATCTACAGGGCTTATAGATAAGGAAAGACGTGCTGGAGGGCACCTTAACCCTAGAGAAAAACATCCCTCATAACTCCTTCTACAAAACTGTTCCGCAGCTAGAAACTATAGATTTAAAATCAGCGTTTCAAGCGCTTTAAGATGACATATGTCTCATCTGGATTGGTGCTTTCGACTAAGTATCCTCTCCTTGTTAGTCATAAAATAGATGATACCTAACTCGATGTTACAAGTGAAATTCTGTAAAAGTTAGTAAGAGGATTTTACACTGCTTGCATTTTATGCGCATTGTCGCCTTTCGCGTGCCCCCGTGCAAGGGGATAGTCGTTTCTGAAATACCTCTGTCTGACCTCTTGCTCAACCGTGGTCATAAGTCAAGCCACTTCACCAAATCGCGGATGCCCGTAATTTGACAATTCGCCAATTGCTTCCGCGCGAGTAACCTCAAACCATAGGCGCATAATTTTTGTGAGTTGATGCGAACCTGCCATTCATACACGAAGTGCACTGATGGAACCGCACAAATGCCAAATAGCGCAGCACCGAAAACGCGAGAAGTGTGAAATACATAAGGCCCTGGGCATCCCTCACCCTATCCCAGTCGCCACGTAGAATGGCAGTACTCCAATTACGATACATCGGATATTTTAGGTACAAAAGACAGAGCATTTATCAATTTGCAATATACACACATGCTTCTGGGAGAGCGTGCAGGAGTTCCTAGCACCTTTCCTCGCACCAAGTTCGCACCAGCATTCGCACCCAGGAGGGTTCTCCTAGCACCCCCGCGCTTTAGAGGTCAGGTCACGCCCGTTGCTCCACCCATTTACTGGTCTCATTGTGAGATGTGCATACAGCGAGAGCATAGACTCAGTATTAAGGTAACAAGAGAGGAAAAATGGACAAAGAACTGTTCCAAGAGTTCCATAGCTATCATTTATCAACTGAGGAGAGTTGGAAACTCTGCTACGCCATCCTTTCAAAAATGAGCACTTGACCATTATTTTATGGAGAGATAAATTGTACAGGATTTTTTATGTAGAAAATCAGTGATTCGAAAAATCAGAGATCTAGTTGATCAGTTGTAAATGCCTGGTCATCTTGAAGTGATTCAGCATTAGGAGTTGAATAACTGAGTGACGAAGTGGTGTAGAACCCTAATACCTTTTCAACGTTAGAATTACCTATTTCGAATGGAGTATATCAAAGTTCCCGAAAAAGCAGCTCAACGCTTTTTTCAGTAGTTAGGATATCTGAACACCAGTGGCGAAAACCCGAAAAAATTCTTTTATAAGGCTAATTTGAATTTTTAAAAAATTTCAAAAATTATTTTAATTGCTTACAAGAACAAACAAGTCATTTGCACATTTTTTAAACTCATGTAAGTAACTTTCAAAAATTTCGCGACCCGTTCTCCAGGGGGGGGGGCGCCCCCCCCCCCCCCCGTCCCCTCTCGGTACGCCACTGCTGAACACATACACTTGCCTATTTTCGTCTGCCATCATATATGTTCAGTGAGTTTTTTATTCGGACTAATTTAATGATCAATAAGATTCAATTATCACCAATTCTTAAGTGTAGTGTAGCATCTCCTACAGTCGATGTACTAGAATACCAAGGTTTGGTTGCATGTGTATTGAATAGCTGGCTAAGAGTTTCAAATACGACTCTAAATTTGCAAGTTATTTCAGTTTGCTGTAATTCTGAGGTAAACATAGAACTTGGGTCTAATTGACTTATCCGTTATATACTGAAAACTCATAACTTCTGCTTGATTTATATTACTACGATATGTTTCACAAACTTACTCAAGCGCAAGCACTTACAGAATTTTGGGAGAACGTCATTCTATCCGAAACGGAAGTAAAACGCAACTCGAAATACCTGAAACTCAGCTGCAGTCATCTACGCATTCTAAACCCTTAATGTAAAATTATTGTTCCTCAATTTCAGTGCTATTATCTTCAAAAACAATACACATGTTACAATGCGTGCACACAATTCATAATGAGGGCACCTAGAGGGAGGGATAATGGGCGGAGCCGCCCCTTTGGCCCCCGAGAAGGTGTGATGTCTTTCAAGGGATTTTTGGAGGTGCCAAGTACCCCTGCGAGGAAAAGCGGCTAGGCTTTGAGAACTCCTGCCACGCCGCCATGCTTCTGTTATTTGCGATGGTTCTGAAGACATCTGGTAAGTGGCTAAATCGGGTAGCGACCGAAATAGCCCGAGGTATGCCCGGGCCTGATGCGTCTGCTTGAATTGCCAGCTCTACAATCGATTAGATTTTCCGCTTAATATACCCTAATTTCATGCGTACAAGGCGCGGGGTGGTCCTAGCTTTCATCGAGATGCTCAGCCGCCCCAACGTGTTTTAAGAAGCGATCCTTATGCCGCACGATTCGTCAGGCAAAACGCAGCACGGTATGGGGTTCCTTTGGTTGCGAAGTCCTTTGCCGTGTTCGGGCTGGTCGATGAAAGCTAGGACCACCCCGCGCCTTGTACGCGTGAAATTAGGGTAGTATGTGACAGCTCTCACACAATTCTGACCGTCTCTTCGCCGAACTATACATTTGCGTAAAGGCAATGCTTAATGGTGTAAGGACAGATGATTTTGTTCAGAACGATCTTTAACATCTTTAAAACCGGAAATTGGAATCAACGACCACACTTTGTATTTCCTACTGCGAAATTTACAAAAAAGAGCAGTGGTGAAAGTCCCACGTACGGTGTGAGGCGAGATCGTTATAGCGTGGTTGACAAGTAAGATCTTTATATTACCTTGTTTATATTTTGCATCGCTTTTGACGAAAATCGACTATTCTAGCCACCTTTTGTATGACTGACCTTTGTCTACCCTCCCACAGCACTTTTTTGCATTGCCACCTAGAAAAAGTCTCAAAGATGGTGCCCATGAAAATCTGCTCAGCTGTCTCATAATCGAGAGGCCCCAACTATGTTATGCCTAAGCAACCGTTTTACAGGATTCGCGATCGAGACATTCAGCAAACTCCAATTTTTTCGCGCGTTCAATAGTACAATATAAAAATAAAGTAGAACGTACTCTAGGTTGAACATTACTGAAATTCTTGTTTAACAAGTTGAAATTTTCGACCCTCAACGACATTTGATCACCATATGCACAATCGTACATGGCATTTTCCTACATAAGATAAAAACTAGTTTTCTCGAACAGAAAGTGCCTTAAATATTCCATCTCGGCTACAGATTTCCAACAGAAACCGAAAGAACTTCTCACGCAAAACGGCGAAAGTCATGCACACACAGATTCGCTATGATTTCACATAGGCCAAAACCCAGTACATAACCTCAAAGGTCATTCTAGATCAATATAGTAATCTCGATAAATCCTCTTCTCCTTAAAATTGTACGCCTATTCAGTAGCTAAGTGTTTCAGAATTCCAACTAGTTATCCATGGCGGCGTCTCCCACACTCATAGAAAAAAGAAGGACGCACCAGCTTAAATAGCAGATATTTCAAAAGAGGCCGGCAGCAAGTCTTCGAAGAATTTTCAGAGCTGATTTGTTCACGAAATCAAAAATCTGATTCAAATTGAACACTTTTCTCCTCGCATAATTCTATAACTCATATCAAACCGCCTGACTCACAAAGAATTGCCTTTCGTCTAGAACTTGCGAATCCGTCTTGGGTCCTTGTGAGCTTGGACCTTGAAAAAGAAGCATAGCATGCAATGTACCACACCTCAAGTGAAATGCATTGGCAGGGTGATTGTGAGGAAAACAACGCCGAACACAGCTTTCTGCTTGTTTGTGCAAACGGAGCAATACTTCATTGTTGTCCGGAGGGATGAGTGGAATGAGGTTCTAAACACGACAACGAGATGCTTACTTTGCTTTGCATTTTTGGGATCATAGAAGCAACGAGAAAATGGAATGTTGACCATGCAATCAACAATGGTGCACAAAAGGAGCAGAAAAAAGATGTGACCACCTGGATTAGCTTGCAGAGGTAGATGTTGGTGCCGGAAAGGATTTTTGTGAAACGTTCGAGCAAATCTTGTAGAAATTCGATTCTTGTTTTCATTGGCATCTGAAGCCGAATGCTAGTTTTGAGGCTGAGAAAAACGTTAGTCGATTTCAAACTGGTAATTTATAAAAAAGAGCAAAAGAATGTTTGTGAAACAAGAGTAAGACAACTTTGCCCCAAACAAACAAGCAACGACACAGGTGGAGCCAAATATTACCTGCTCTATTTCTTTGTCCTCAATAAGTTTGTCGATGAATCTCATAGCGCTTACTGCCTCCAGAACGTATTCCTGAATAGATGGAAGTGAACAGTCAAGGGAGATAAAGCTTTGACTGTCACCTTTGGAACCTCATTAGAGCATTTGGGGCAAGTAATCACAGCGGTATCCTCATCTTTGTGAGAACGCTCCCCAAAAATGTACAGTGTTTCTCGTTCATCGCGCTATAATCTTAGAATTAGAGAAGGCTTAGAAGCGAGCTCAGAAATCGAACCGGACAGACGGGACAGAGTATGCTGGTAAGTATGTGGTCATCTGGATCAGTGCACCTTTCGCACCGACAATCAAAGTACCATGTGTCTTTCAACTCTTTCTTTCTCTGCTGTAAAGAACTGCAGAAGACATATATGAGTGACTCAGTAAAAAAAAGCATGCTTCTTTACTGACTGTAATGACATTTCCCACCTTAGAAGATCAATGTAAGAATAGAAGGTTTTGGTTTTGTCCTTAATAGAAACGTCAGAGTTGAGCGCTCTAAGAGTCGCTATGAATCCATCGCAAGTATAGACAGTGTTGGGTCTACATGAGTGATCGTAAGCACAAAGATCCAGATATAATCCTTTCCCAATCTCCTGAAATTACAGTAAGGCTGCACGCAAGCATGATGACTGCAAGCGGAGCACCTCACAACCTTACCTTTAGGTATGCCTTATCACTTAAAGCATGTCTGTTAATATAATCTCTGCAGTGTAGCTCGAAAACTTCTTCTTTGGGCAACATGAACTTGCTTTCATAGAATTCCGTCAACTTCGAATATATATCTGAAAGAGAATTTCATTCGTTGTCGGAATTGAAAAGCTCACGTCACCTTCGAATTTTTTCATGGCATACTGATCTTTCCTAATTGAATCTATATGTGACCAAATCTCGAGAATGGTACGTTTGGAACTGCGCTCTTTGTAAAACCCCTCGATTTTTTTGTCTTTTCCAGAGCATATATCCTATAGTATATACATCCAAATAAAAGTGAACAGATACAATGATAAAATGCACATAGCAGCGTCTGCTACCTTATGTCTTAGAACAATCCTCCCCAATAATCTTATCTCAATGTCAGGAATAGAGGCAGACTTCTTCAGACCTTTGCATTCAGCCTGAAATAATAAACTTCGTCGAAATCATCCATAACTAAGACTACCTTATGGTCTTTCCATCCCAAAGTCTGGCATTCTTTGCCACAGAATAAAGCAAACCCGCAGCCTAGACATCTCCTTAAATATAAAATTTGAAAGTGATAACAGCAACACATTCAAAAACATGTAACATCACTGCAACCTCATTGCATGCACGAAGCCTATTCATGTGAGTGAGATAGTCATGTTAAGCGTTATAGTACAATCGCAATCAGAGGATAAGAATATGAATAAGTTATAGAATAAGGAGTTTTCGCGGCTATCAGCAGCCCAAAGAAAAGGAGATGGTTTGATTGTTCCAGTAGCTCACTAACATTCATACTTGAGATACCAGCGATTAAATCTCCTGTGGCATTTGTCAAAAACCTACGGGTGAAAGCTCATGGCTTGATCTCAACAAATTCGCATAGTACCGGTCAGGTTGGGTTCATACAGATTCGAAGGTTCCGGAACAATTCTAGCACGCGCACAGCTCGAGCGCTGTGCTGGAACTCCTGAACTTGCGAATCACTATGAACCCAGCTTTGAAGGCAGCGTCCAGGCAAATCTGGACATATGGTAATCTCACGTGGACAGTAATTTCGGGAGTTTAGCCACTGCCCTACCGGTAGCTCAGTTAGTGCTCTAACGGCTGAGATATCCACCTCGAAACTGGACCCCAGGATCGAATTTCGCATGGAATTCACGGCGCAACCCATCAGCTTCGCGCGAGAGCGACCCGTTACGCCATGAATCTATGCGAAGTATCCCGGGGTCCAGTTTCGAGAGAAATATCTCAGCCGTTAGAGCACTACCTGAGCTGCCGGTTGGACAGTACCTTAGTTAGAGCCCCAAAATTACTTTCCACGTTAAATCCCCATAAGATTTGCCTGGACGTGCCTTCAAGCGGCATTCTATGAATTTGTAATTCACTCGAGTGAATTCAGCCAACGGACAGCCTGCTGAGTACGGTTTATTGGATTGTGTTCGTTGTGAAGAAACACATGAGCTTACCATCCCCTTGTAACAAAACCGTGGTCGAAAATCCATGTATGGCATATTTTCAAAAGCTGAAAGTGTGAGGACGGGATTCATGCCTCTGTTTCGAGTAGCAAAAAAAAACAAGTAGATGAAGAAGAGGAAACGGTGAGGCACAAACTGATGATGAAAGACCAAGTGATTGGCAATATCCGAATACAAATCGGTTTGCGCACACCTATCTTTAGCAGCGCTTAGAAGTTTATGTTCTTCACTTTTGCCGGACCTGTCTATGATGTTTCAACTAGATTGGGTTCGTCAATGAGCTTTGCTTACGTTACTCAAGACTTTCATAGTACCTATTTGAACGGGTAGAATTTTTTGAGACCACCAGAATGCGAAGCAATGTGGCTTGCGCTGAGAGGGAGAGTGGCGGAGACGAGAAGCATTAGGAGGACAGCCATCTTGCATCACCATATCCATGTGGATCAAGTGGATGAACGGATCTGCTATGACTAGAAGTGCATGTTTTACTTCAAATGTCCGCGCGGCACCTTCCCGTTCAGGGACATGAAGTCCTTGAAGTCCTCTACCTCCTTCCTGTAGAGGATGTACGGAAGTACCGCGAGACTTACTGTCGTGCGAACCAGCCCTTATCCGAAGAAATGTGCGGAGGAAAGTCCTGGAAAAAAAAAGCGCCAACATCTTGGAAAATTATGGTACCTCCACTCCAGGGCCTATGCTATACATGTTCAGCGAGCTGAAAAGGATGTACGAATGAGGAAGTCAAAGGGACTTAGATAGTAAGGTATAAAGGAGACTATATTTATATTGGCACTGAATTTTCAGAGGAAGATTTTGAATATGTAAAAACAAAGCAATATAAGATTTAGGAAGCTGCAACCGCAATAAGGCTTGAACGTACGCGAAATTGAATTTCGAAACCGGCAATACAGCTCAAGGCATCATGACTCACTTGCTAACGACACCCAGGACAAAGATGTACGCAATCTTGTTGGTGATGACAGCATCTATGACATTTGGTTAAACTCATTAAGATGCTACATAAAGGAAGAACAAATCGTATAAAAAACGTTTTGAGAAAGGCAGAAGGAGAAATTACAAGCGTCGAAGATTATTAGTAGGCAATTTTCAAACGTTATTTCGACCACCACACTTACCACTATAGTATTTTTACGTATGAATACTACTTGATATTACTTTCTTTTTTATTTGCATATTGTTAGCGCGCAATCAGCCAGCTTTTCTGGCAAATCGATTGCAAGGAGGGAATGTTTCGAGATATAATACGACTTCTTTGGCATTCAAAACCCTTTCGACTGCAATATTTTTCCAATTACTTGCATCAAATGTGCGTTTGCATATCTTCTATAAGCAATCTCTTTTATGTATCGCGTTCGTTCCAAAATGTACTTTTCCTCTGGAATATAATCAGCCTAGCCTCTGCCCGTGGGCAGAAGACGGTCAAAAGGCGCGCTTCCCCAACGGTCACCAATTCATCAGTCCAATTTAGAGCTTTGCGAGTCTTTCACAATCCTAGACAAAGTGCTTTAGCTTACTACCTATCTGAAGTTACCACTTGCTAAGTTTGACAGCCTTTGGTGAAAAACTGACTGAAATATTCGCAAAATTGTCAGTTGCATTATCACGAATTTTTGACTTCAACACATTTATGTTTTCAATCCGTTTCAAGAAAAATTACCGCTCACAGAAGTGCGAGATTCCGTGAATGTCGCGGAACTGCGGGAATTCCGTGGAAGTCCGCGACATTCCGGGGAAATTCACGCAATTTCGCGGAGTCACGCGGATGACGCCAACTACGCAGCGCCATAACTTCTAAATTTATTCTAAATCCGAAAAAGGAATTGTACTCAGCTCATCAAGGCGAATATTCTGATATACAGCATGAGCCTGAGATTCCGTTTCATGCTTTCTCAAATTTTTCTGCGGACGTCTTTTCGCAAGCATGTATAACACAGCGCAAATCACACATAAAAGATGCCAGTAAGCACTATACGATAGTGCTGTTTCCGCAGATTATGCGCTAGAATGCACCCGTAGATTCCCTTTCAATTAGATAGAAGATCTGGTGAATTCTGGAAAGATCATGCCGTTCCAAAGTCCACTTACCATAACCTTAAATATGGTATGGAGCTCTCCTGCTAACCGGATGTGATTTTCGTAATCAGCAGGTCAGATAACCTCTATAAGCAAGTCCTCCAGTGACCGTATTCAACAACGAACCCTGAAGGCAAACCTTACCCTCGAGAGTAAGTTTTTTACCCCAGAAAGCATAAAACCCGTACTCACGAAGCACATGGTGGGCTTAACCCCAAGGGTTAAACCTACACTTGAGTGTAAACCTTACGCCGGAAAGCGATTAACCCGTATTCATCAAAGACTTTGAGGGTAAATCCTACCCTTGAGGAAACCCTAGCCAGGTTAAATTTACCCTGATACTTCGTCCAAACATAAAATGGTCTTTCAATGCACCACTCAGTCTTAGTCATACTGTTTTGACAACAAACACATATTTCTACTTATTAATATCTCAGTCTCCCAAGTCCTTTTTTCGTCTCAGTCAATCATATTACGAAAACTAGGATGAATTCCTTAGTATTTTGTTGACACTTCTAGCGCATCAAGTTGGGCTACTATAGTGTGTGTTCGTGTATCAAATCATTCACTGAACGAGTATATTGATGGACCAGAATTTGAATGAGAGAGTTCCATATGGCCCCGGACAGACTTCACGCGATTTGATCGTCGCGACTCAATCGCCGACATTTCCATTCATTTTCATTTCACATTCAAAAATTTCGGGCTGGAAAAGTATCACAACCGAGATGCAAGTTGATCGGCATGGAATGATGTTGTAACAGTTGTCTCGTCGCGATTCAGTCGCGACGATCAAATCGCGTGAAGTCTGTCTGGGCTATGCCGGGTATCGAGTCGTTGAGCTTGATATTCGCCATATCTCAGTCCTTCGATGGAATGTATTCTCTTCAGACCTAATTTTTTACTACAACAACTCGGCAGAATATAGTACCGTATGATAACATCAAACGAAAACAAGAAATGATGCCATAGGAAGTCTGAGATTACAGTAACCATGAATATGTGTTTACTGTCAAAACGGTGTCGCTTGGACTCAGGGCCGCATGCACTAACCTCCCCGCGGGGAGGGGATCGCAGCTTAAAAGAAAGCTTTATATTTCGAAACTTTAGATACCTGGATTTCACGTTGTGTACCTATCCGTAAGTATTCCTACTACCCTTCACTATGAACATGTTGAAGAGGAGCGAGAAGCTGTACAAACCACATTTTCCAGCTTTTGCATGATCCCTGATGATCCCCGGCACTTTTCTTCAAAGTCATTTTTCTTTCTCCGAAGTTAACGAATAACCTCCAAAGTTGTGCGTATTATCTAACTCGACAGTGCTAAGCATGTTGCTGATAAGAACAAATGGTTTTTGAAGTAATGAAATTTTCGATGATCCACAGGTCGAAATTTGAGGTTTACCGAAAAATTCGACTTTTCAAAAACTCATTTGTTCTCATCAGCAACATGCTTAGCAGTATTGTGTTAGATGTTCAGTACAACTTTGGAAGGTTTTCGTTAACTTCGGAGAAGGAAAAATGACTTGAAAGAAAAGCGCCGGGGATCCTCAGGGATCATGCAAAAGCTGGAAAATGCGGCTTGTACAGCTTCTCGCTCCTGTTCAACATGTTCATAGTGAAGGATAGTAGGAATACTTACGGACAGGTAGACAGCGTGTAATCCAGATATCCGGAGCTTCAGGATATGAAGCTTTCTTCTGAAGCTGCGATCCCCTCCCCGCGGGGATATTAGTGCATGCGGCCCTCAGTGGCGAACCGAGGGGAGGAGGGCCCCCCCCCCCCAGGGCGGCGTGGCAGGAGTTCCCAAAGCCTAGCCGCCTTTCCTCGCAGGGGTACTTGGCACCTCCAGAAATCCCTTAGGGTTGAGCCAGACTTCGCGGGGAAGCGGCGTACGCGGCGTACGCCGCGCAGTCTGGCTCAACCCTTAGAGGACATCACACCTTCTCGGGGCCAAAGGGCGGCTCCGCCCAACATTCTTTCCTCTGGGTGCCCTCATTACGAATTGTGCACACGGATTGTAAGACGCGTATTGTTTTTGGATAATAGCACTGGCAACCAGCATTTCGAGTTAAGTTTTATCACGCTTGGATAAAATGACGCTTCTCCAAAATTTTGTAAGTGCTCGCGTTTGAGTAAGTTTGTGAAGCGTATTGTATTAACATAAGTCACGCAGAAGTTATCAGTATATGACAGAGGAATTAGTCAATTACACGCAAGTTCTAAAGTTCATCTAAGAATTATAGCAAATTGAAATATCTTGCAAGTTTAATGTCGTATTTGAAATCTTGGCCAAATCTTCAATCACACATGGGACTGAAGTTTACTATTCTATACATCGATTGTAGGAAATACTACGCTCAGAATTTGGTTTTTGGTAATCAAGATCTTAATGGTCATTAGTGTAGCTGGAATGAAAAACTCATTGAAATACACATATAATGGCAGACAAAAGTAGGAAAGTACATATGTTTAAGAAACTAGAAAAAGCGTCGAATTGCTTATTCGGAAACGATATACTCCTTTCAAACTAGACAGTTCTAATGTTGAAAAGGAAATAGGGTTCTCACCACTTCTGGTCACTCAGTTATTCAACTCCTGATGCTATTGCTTAAATCAGATGAACAGGGATTTAGAATTGAATAACTAGATTCTCTAATATTTCGAATGACCGAGTTTTCCATACAAAAATTATGCGCAATCTATCTCTTTTGAGAATAATGTTCAAGGGCTCGTTTCTAAAAGAATGGCGTAGCAAAATTCCAAGCCTCCTCACTTGAGAAATAATAGATACGTCCTTCGTTTTTTCTCCATTTTTTCTCTCTTATTACCTTAATACTCAGTCTATGCTCTCGCTCATTGCACACCTCACAATGAGACCAGTAAATGGGTGGAGCAATGGGCGTGGCCTGACCCCTGAAGTGCGAAGGTGTTAGAAGCCCCTTGGGTGCGAATGCTGGTGCGAACTTGGTGCGAGGAAAGGTGCGAGGAACTCCTGCACGCCCTCCCCCCCCCCCCAAGAATGGGTCGCGGAATTTTTGTAAGTTAATTATATGGGTTATAAAAATGTGCAAGTGACTTGTTTACCTGTAAACAATTAAAACAATTTTTAGATTTTTCTAAAATTCAAATTAGCCTTGTAAAAAAATTTTTTTCGCGTTTAGGGGTTGGGGACCCGCAAAAATTTGAGAAGCACCCCAAAAATTTTTCGGAGTTTCATTGGAAAAATCCCCCCCCCCCGATCCGAAATCCTGGGACCGCCACTGCTTGGACTGAATAGTGGCGGTCCCAGGATCGAGAGATCACTTGATGTTTGTGCGAAATGTCAAAGGAATCTAATCTGACTTTATGCTAGAGTCAAATTTACCCTGATGAGCCACGTTCGTGACCACGGGTTAATTGTTCTCTGGGGTAATGTTTATCCTCAAGGTTCGTTGATGACACGGTAGGGTGTGCCGCGGACGATCAACCCGTGTCCATCAATGAACCTTGAGGGTAAAACCTACCCTTGAGGGTAAGGTACCCTCAGGGTTCACTGATGAATACGACTACAAGAAGTTCGGGTTATTTGAATTCTTCTCGTTTTACGCTCCGAAGCTTGCGCGTATCTTTTAAAAAATTCGCCTGCTTCCTTGCAGGTCAAAGTCACTGGGAAGCAAGCTATTGAACGGTACATGTCTCAGGCCCCAGTCTATAACAATCCCCGAGTTACGACCTTACAAAATCAAGTTCTCATGAATATTGCCCAAGACGCAAAAATCGCATATGTCGTCGGAATTCCATCGTGAGTGTTAGCATAACACGCTGATTGCAAATTTTATGTTCAATTCGCTCAAGGGATTGTACCGTATTGGATACGGTGGTTAGATAGATCTCTAGACGCGAAGCTGTTTTGCTGTCTGTATGTTGTTGAAACCCACACAACTACCGTACTTTCATAAACAGCGTGTACGAATACGTCTATGAGCAGAGTTTTTTTTAATCCAAGATCATCAATATTTCAGCGCAACCCATCGGCGAGCTTCGAAGCGTAAAATGAGAAATCAAATAACCCGAACTTTCAGGAAGACTTGCTCGTAGAGGTTATCTGACCTGCTGATTACGAGAATCACCGGCTTAGCAGGAAAGCTCCATATTTTGAAGTTATGGTAAGTAGACTTTGGAACGGCATGCCTTTTTCAGAATTCACCAGCTCTTCTATATAGCAGTGGCGTGCCGAAAGGAAAGCGCCCCCCCTTTTCGGGGGGCGATTTTGGGAAGCTTCCCAAGAAATTCTCTGGAGTGCCTGGCTAACGCCATGCACCTTCATCTGGAAGATTTTTTTGTCTCCCCCCCCCCCCCCCCCTAACCGGAAATCCTGGGTACGCCACCGTCGTACAGTGCTTACTGGCATCTTTCGTTTGTGATGCGCGCTACGTTACATCCATGCGAAAAGACGTCCGCAGAAAATTTTGAGAAAGCATGAAACGGAATATCAAGCACATGCTGTATATCAGAAAATTCGCCTTGATGAGCTAAGTAAAATGCTTTCTTTCGGATTCAGAATATATTTATTCCGAAAGAAGTTATGGCTCTGCGTAGTTTGCGTGATTCGCGTAATTCCGCGAAATGTGTCTGGTCTGCAAACAGAAGGGAATCCAGTACCTTAGTTAAGAGACCAGCTCTTTAACTTTCACAAAAAAACAAGTAAACTTTACATCTCTGAGCTGGTTTTCGCTTGAGTCTCCTGCCACCTTGTGTTCGGTCATGTCGCTAACGGCACACCTCGAGTGTATTACAACAAACAAAAAAATAAATAAATATAACTTAAATGGATTGCTGCGGGGCGAGTCACGAATAAGAAACAGAAACCCTTGTTTATTTGCTGAAGTGTGAAAATGAAATGCAACACATTGGAATAAGATGTAAGTTTGCAAGTGGGCATTCCTAGAACGCACCGCGATTTTCACAAAATCTGCTGTTGCAGTGAAAAATTGGCAAATGCTTTCTTTATTGTATTCTGGAACTCCGCCTAGGAACGTCAGAGATTCACCCTTTTTTCAGGTCAAGTCGTTCAGCAAAGTGGACATTTCTTGCAAAAAAATTTTCTGGAGATTTTTGACCATGATAATGCAACTACAATTTTTCTAACGCAAAGCCAAGACACCCTGACAGAGCACCCTGGCAATGTGAATGAAGACTACCATTCATACAAAATGATCCAGCACTTTTCATTCGGGTGAGTTTAGAGCTCAATTGCCACAGTCTAGCTCCTCTCAAATCGGCCATTTTACAACAAATTTTCTTGTTCGAACAAAAAGATATAAGCCTTTTAAAAGAGGAAGAAAAGATCTTTCCAATGATAACAAAGTTTTTTTTTGATATATCTCTATATATAAAGCAGAAAATTTGTATGTCTGTGCACATTCCCCACAGTCATGAAGGATGAGCGGTGAAGCTCATTTTGTTCTGCTGGTCATCAAGACATGTAAAGACGGTAGGAAGCGAAGCGAACCCAAGTGGAGTGGAATCAAAGGAATGATAAGCTTCGCTGCTTGAGATGTCAAGCACGATACACTGGCTCCGGACCGGGGTGAAACCCGGCATGCCAGCTCGTATTTGATATAACAACAAAATTTTGAGTCAAATTCAGTTCACGTACTTTGAACCTCATGGTAAATTCACAATTGTACAATTCTCGTCTGCCGTTTTGTGCACAATTGCTGGTTTTTTTTTGCACGACTGGATATTAAGAAAAGAACATAGGCCAAAAAATACGAGAAGTCGTTTTTTGTAACGGTTTTATTGAGTGAAATCTACCATTTCTCGAAAATTATCTCTCGTAAAAGGCTAAAAATTTGTAGCTGTATTATAAAGGCTATTGCTATAGGATTACCTAAGTAGGAAAGTCTCAGCATTGCTATGGCAAATTTCGTCTCGATTTCAGCCCTTGGAAGATTACAGCGACTATGCATATGAACATTAGATGAGAAGTGTGTATTCATGGACATAGATATGAGGCCCTTGGAAATTTTTTTGTGCTTTCGGAATTCCGAAAGTTTTTACATTTTGATTTTGAAATGAATGAGGAACAAGCTTTGTGCAAATATTTGGACTCCACCTTGTAGAGCTTGCTTTGCTCTGCCATGATACGTCAGAACTTTTTTGAATATCAAAAAAGTGGGAGTTATTAGGATGAAAAATGAAAACGGAAGGAACTTATGGGACAACCATACTTCAAATAACATACGATACCACTACTCAAATTACATTGGCATCCCAAAATCTTCTAAGTAGGTTAATATGATTATCATGAAGGTATCAATTGAAAGATCATTTCTTCCTCTTTTATTCGGCATACAGCTTTCCGTTCATCCAGTTCATTTCCATTCATTGATTCTTCCGACTCAAGTAAGGATAGAAACGAAGCCACATCGCCCGAGATACGGATGTCTCGCGAGAAGTCTCCAAACCATGTAACTTTCTGGAAGCAAAAGGCCAAGCGGATCAATAGCACTTTCACGTTGTTTTAGCTGCTCATCTACAAAAGTTACAAGGTTTTTGTTATCCTGAAAAAAGGAATTCCATTTTTTCTTCCTCTTTTTTCATCACTGAGTATCTAAATCGGAGAGAAGAACAAGAAGAAAGGAAACAGAAAACATCTCACACTTCAGCAGTATCAATGCAATATTGTCTATGGAAAGATGATATCAGCGTTGATGTAGAAATGCTCAAGTTATGTCCCAGGAATTTGAGAAATGATCAGCAAACATGGATTAGGCAAACATAGCAGGGGACAATTTTGGGACTACTCGTAAATAACTGCAGTTTGATTCAACGAGTAATTCAGTTCGAGTAGTGGTTGGAATGCTCTATAGATATTAGGATTCTACTTACATAGTAGAAGACGAACAATCCAGTATTAATCATTAAACAACAACATGCTTGAAGAGTCCTGGAATAAGACTTCTTTACGCTCACTTCTTCGATTCCACAGGTGCAAGGCAATACCAACAGTAGTTATAGAGCTCTTCGGTAAACAGAGCGTATGCGAATGGATAAAAACGAATGCGTGGAGGTTTCGTAGACATATCTTGAAAGATGACAATTAGATGCGGAACACAGTAAGCACACGAAAAACGTAACGAAGAGAAGCAATTTTATGATACAGCGATGTCCTCGCTTATGCTAAATATAAAGCAATACCAACGGTCCGACTCTCAGAAGATAAGAGAAGTAAGCGAAAAAGCAATAAAAATCATTTAAAAGACCATTACAATATATTATGTTATCAGATGCAAGGTCAGCACTGTTCCACTTGTGTATGTGTGCCAAGTTTGGTCCGAATCGGTTCAGAGGTAAAAATTTCTATTCCGCACGTACGTACAGACATACAGACAAACAGACATTCAGCTTTATATATATAAGATATATGATATTATATTAGATTGTAAAGAAAGTTCCCGGGCATTTGCGAAAATTTTTTTCAAATCGCTGTACTTCAAGCAGATTGATTCTTTTTTCAAGCAACAAACTTCATTGCAAAGACAATTTTGTCCACAACATAAATTTGTCCTGACTTCTCAGCACCTCACTGCGGTCCACCGACATGCGCAGAAGGGAACGTCGTTGCGAAAAGTGGCCTATTTGTGCAGGATTATCTCAGGCAGGATAAGAGCTGGAAAGCCCAGATGCTGTAGTTATATAGAGGTCTGCTGGGGCTGTTATGGGGACCATTCATGTTTTTAAAGGACCAGCTGCAAAAAAATTTTTCCCAAAAAAATTTGAAAAATCGACTTTTTTTTTGTCCCCAAAAATGCACCATTTTTCGAGTAAATGACTTTGAAGTGTTCTAGTTCTGCACAGAAAGGACCAAATCTTTGATTGCTGGCAACATTGGTGGGGTAATGCCTTGCACAGCTTTTGGACCCATCATCCAGGCGTGGCGATCCCCGTAGAATCGACGCCAGCTGTGAAAAGAGTTGCAGTCACAGGCAGGTTCGACAGCTTGTAATTCCTGAGCGCAAATCGCAAAACTCGAGTGCAGCTGCGGTTCAGAAGTTAACAGCCTTGCCAATCAAATCACCCATGATTTGAACGAAATCCTTTGAATTGCACAAAAAAAATGGCCGTAAAAAGAAAAACTGTGAAATTTTTGTGGTTGAAAAGATTTCCCTTCTTGATGTGCAGAACAAACACGTCTTGGCATCGATAAAAGTCAGAAAGCGTATCGAAAGCTTCAGGATTCCCTCTACTGAACAGTATAAAAAACTTGGCGTCAAAGTCCGACCGAGCGCCAAAAAAAGCGTTTGAAAACGAAATTTCCAAAAGTGCCCGGGAACTTTCTTTACAACCTAATATATCATATTTTTGATACATTTGATCATTATTACTATTAATTATTTAAAATTTGAAGTCAGCGTCCAAGAACCTGTCCCAGTACCGTACTTAGCGGAAGATTTATAGGCTGCTGCATGACGAGCGCAATATATTTGGGCGTAAACGCGGCTTTATTAGCCACAGAGCGCAGGAGGCGCAGGATTGACAACGGTGACGCACGCGCCGCGTTCGCGCCCGCTCAACTGATACTGCTATTGCGCCTTCGTCATGCAGTAACCTTTACCTCGAGCAGGGTTGTGCGCGGGGACTCCGCACGTGGGCGGTGGCAATGGCAAGCAGCCCGCGGCAAGTTGTCCCCCAGATACGGTATCGAGGTCTCGTTTTTGGGATGGATATCTCAGTCCCGTGTGCATCATCTGCGCTGCCGCTTGGGCACTGCACTAGTTGGACCCCCAAAATCAGTTTTCAAGAGCGATCCCCATGCATCCCGATCTGCTTGGACGCTGCCTTTAAAAACTCTTGTAGTAGTATGTAATTAAGGTATACGCACACCTGTTAATTACATGATAAAATTCTATTTCAAAGTATCGCTAATGCAAAACTCCGGATTAATACGGGCCTAAGTCACATTATCTCGGAAAGAAAAGTATATCGCTAGACACGTCTCAAAAAGCTGATTTCGAAACTGCTTTCGTTTTCTGCGGAACAACCCTGCAAAAGAAGTTATGAGCAGTTGGAATTCCAAATCTGTCAAGTCTCAAGTGGATAAAATTAACGAAAGCCGTACAAGAGCACCTATAGCGATATTTCCACCGGCTGTGTTCCTTCTTTGTAGTCAGTGTACTTAAAATGAAATTGATTACCCACTTTCAGGTGCTTCATTACAACTTTTCGCTAACTTTATTCTATCTAAAGCTTAACAAATTTGACGGGCACAATACTTCGAGAGCTGCGAATTATGATTAATCTGAAGCCGCCTCGAACCCACATAAAAACTGTCAGGGAAAGCACAATTTGCAAGGTGTTTCATAATGCAGATAGCCACATATCAACTTTCATATTATAAAAAGAGTGAAGAACATCACATGAACTGCCAGCAAAAGTCCGAGCTGAGAGAAATTATCAATGAAAGGATCCCATCTGAACAAGCCTCATGAATAACTGCAAGCGAAATGCGAGTAAAACTGGCCTTTCAAAGATTATTGTTGTTCTGCGGGGATGTTCAAAGAGAATCTAGACAGCCATACCTTACCCTCAAAACAAAGCAAGAATAGTACTCCAAAAGACCTCAACGATACGGGTCAAATTCGTGGACAGTGTAACATTACGGCTTGGTTGACGCTGAAGACAATGAGTTCACAAATTTGCAGAAGAGCACGATAACGCGAAAAGAAGCAGCTCAGGAAAAACATAGATATTTCGGAAACATCAAGCGTAAAGGAATGTTGGATTAGAATGCCCCGATGGTCCGATAGTCGGCAAGCAAAATTAGACAGCTCATAGCAGCTGTACTTGAATATGAGAATGCCAACGCAAATCTGGTGTGCTCTGAACGAGAAATTTGTGATAAAAGGCCTGCCGCATCCGCATTTCAGCCAGGATTTACAACTTAATCATCAAACTGCTGCTCGTGAACCAGAAACAGATTTCGATAGTAAATAGTCTACGAAATCTAGATGAATTGCGACTTGTTGGATTGACATCAAAAGAAGAAAATAAGGTTCTGCTGAGGGTGCCTTCATACCGCGCCGGCAGCCGCCACTAGCAGCCCGCAGCAGCCGCCAGCAGCCCGTTAGCAGCCCAGAGCAGCCGCCATGGTTTTGAGCAAAGAGGTTCCAAACCACTCTACCGTTTATCCCCATAAGGAGCGGCCATACCATCTCACTGATTCCTGCGATTCCTGTGATTCATGCGATTTCTGGACTTTGCGCCGCAGTAACGCTACGCTTTCTCGTTTAGTGCTTCGTAGATCGAAAAATGGATGCCAAGGTTCCAATGTATGTTGTTTATACAAATACCATACAAATCCTTTCTATCTATTAGGAGGTGTTCTGTAGGTGTCAACGAACATTTCAACGTAGAAAAACGGTTGTGCATCCTTGAGGGCAGTGGCTCGGCAAATCTCAACCTAGTCAAATTTGCGCTTACCTGGGGTTTTTCAATACGCTGACCCCGAAAATCCACCTCTGGAAGCTTGAAAACGGCGAAAATAAGCGTTTTTAAATGCCCTTCCCTTTGGAATTGGACGAGTGGAGGAAGGCCGATGACGCTTCGTTCCAGGACCCAATGATTATAGCGTTGCGGCGGGCAGCCTTCAATGGTGAGAAGGAAATTGTGGGTGGAGGACATTAGGTCGCCGAATTTGGAAGAGTCCCGCGCGGATTCCCTGCAGGAACGCATGTCCGCGTATGTACAAGGGTGCGTATTTGTCGCAAATGACCGCGGGCACCGCCCTCTTTCGGCGACCTAATGTCCTCCACCCGGAAATTGTCAGTTCGTCCAGATGTGGGTAAGATTGGTCTTCGTGTGTAAGTTTGAGAGCGATTTTCTCATCAGGGAAAGCACGCTGTGCAACCGGGATTGCACTGTTCTCATACTTGAGCGATAAGGAACCTACCGCGTTAAAATCCTGAGTTGTTGGGTTTTGCCGATCCACTGCCTTTAACACGTCTCGGACCGCAAAATCGCGCGCGGCGAAAAAGAGCGTACTTTCAGCCGATAGCCTACAAAGGGACCTTATTTCGCCGCCTGTAAGCCACATCTGTAATCAGCATGTCAGATAAGCTCCATGAGTCATTTGAAAAGTAGGAGCTTACAAGGGAACGATACTTAGTGTCTGTGGCCTTTTGAGATGGGATATATACCATTATACTCGTTTCGAAACGCTGCTATTCCAAATATGACTTCCGTTTCCGCTGAACGCTTCTATAAAAAAAAATTATGAAGGATTTTCACGTCAATGATCGCCCAGGAGAAATATGGTCGAGGATGCTTAACATTCGAAAAGAAGCTTGATTGACGCAGTGCAAAACTGAAAAACACTAGGAATCGAAACTAAACCTTCATCAACTTGGAGGCTGTCGCATTAGCCGCTACACCACATCGTAGCGGCTTTTTTGGTATTCCGACCATACTTCCCTTGTTGCGAAAATCCTTCACAACTCTTTTCAGAGAAACGATCAGCAACGGAAGTCGGATTCGGAATCCTCGTTTCAAGACGGGTATAATGGTATACGTCTCAACTCAAAAGGCCACGGACCCTAAGTATCGTTCCCTTGTTAGACCTTTGACTTAACAACTTTGGACTAAAAGGAAACCTCCTGTGAACGCCAGAAAGATCCTTCAAAGCAGCGTACTGCAAATGTGCAGCACCGGTCCGAAACGTGTTAAAGGCAGCGTCCACCCTGACGTTGGCCTCCCATGTTTTCGTTCTGGGGCCTTTCCGTGGCCCTGATTACAGTTCCGAACTTCAAACCCTCCAAAATTCACGAAAAACCCGATTCTTGGGGACCCTGTCTGAGGACGCGGGCGAGTTTCGAATCGCTCGTCCCCGTCGGCAGGCCAGCGGGGAGGAGCTGCAACTGCATGAGTGAATTTGCAGCAGTGTGCAGCTTCTGCTCACTACCATGTTAATACGTATCGAGAGGCATCCCTGGCTGGGCGGAGTGTGATATCAGACTCCGCTTACCCAGGGACTTCCAGGCCCCTTATCTCCATTCAGAAACAACGTTAGAAGACCGGACCAAAGCAGATGCCCCTTTTCTGGGGCCTACATTCAGGATCGACACTAATCGGAGGAGGTAGGTTTAGCCTGGACACTACCTTTAAGGTCCCTTCATACTACGCCGCAGGACGCGGGGTGCTGCTGTGTCCTGCGGCTGCGCCGCTGCAGTCGCCGCTGCACTCTGGGAGAACAAAACGTGCAGCTTATATAGAGATACATCCATGACCGGCGAAGCTGTGCTGCCGTGAGCGTAGATTTTCACTGCGACTGAAGCGGCGCACACCGCATGACGCGGCGTGCTGCGGCAGGCTGCTGCGTTCTGCGACGTAGTATGAAGGAACCTTCAGCACACATGTTTGTTTACCGATACTGTTCTAGGTAACTACACACCTTTGTTCGTTGCCTTGTAAACACAAAGCAAAGTATCATGTATTCTGAGCCTACGGCGGCTTTAAGAACGCTTTGCACACCTTGTGTTTGAGCATCTCGAATTTTCTTTCTTCACTAGTGAACCAGTAATCTAAAGGTGCTATTTGACAGAGCGTTCGCTTCGGAACCGCCGCGCGGTTTCCCACTATTTGCACGTTTTTGAATTGAGTTGACGATTCTTTATATATTAATATTAATATCAAGTTAGATCATCCAAGAAATATAGGTCACAGCTTCAGAGTTACTGGTCGCCCGTATGCAAAGCATACTTATTTGTGTCTTCTCGTCCCAGAGAGAACTGGATGAAGCCTGATGAGTTCTGGATTATCTATGTTCATTATAGTCGTTTTCTCAGTCCCCACCGATTAACTGGAGGTATAAATCTTTTTGTGAGAAAATGACCTAGTGGATGATGATGTAAAAATGTAACACTAATATATAGGACGAGATGAGAAAAACATTGTGTACTGCGAAACTCGCGATCGATTCCGCCTTAGGCTTAAGGCAAGGGACATACCTCACGCGATTTCAGTCGCCAAGCGATCTGGCAATTTGCCATATGTCTTCAAATTCAACACTGGAAGACCTCAAATGCACAGCATGTATAACTTTCGTAGGTTGATAAAATGCCCCCTCTCCCGTACATTCAGAAACCCCGTAGGATGAGTTATGAACATTTGGAGTATTGCCAGATCGCGTGGCGACTGAAATCGCGTGAGGTATGCCCGAGGCCTAAGGCCCTGGGCAGAGCTCATGCGATTTCGTCGCGTCGCGCCCGATCATTTTGGACAAGTGTTACACGCCACGCTGTCTAGTGTGTGGGTCCCGACGCGTTTGTGACGGCTGCGCGGCGCGACGGATCGCGCCACACTTTTCGGCGTTCATAGCTTGCCAGGCGATATCGTCGCGATTTTGCCGAATCGGCGCGATGTCGCGTCGCTCGTTTGCGGCGATCCTGAAGTGGATTTTCGATGTTATTGTTGTTGTTGGTTTGTCTTTTCATTAGAGTGTTTTTGCATGAAATGTTGCAAATGCTGATTTATGCCTATCTTTGCATTGTTTGGAAGGAGTTAGTCCTCATTTTGCATTTTTACTTTCATCTACATTATCCTACATCTCATATATCCTAGGTTGCCAAAAAAATCCATTACAAGCCCTACCCTGTTCGATTGCGCATCGAATACTTAAAGGATGTGCTCACAGTCTACGTTGACGATGCTATGTAGCAAACTACGAGATATGAGCTTTGCATGAGGTAATAGCAGTATTTTCGTCTATCATGTGCAGCACATGGGTGACGTTTCTAGAGCTGAAAACATCGTTTTGCCTCGTGACGATTCTTTCGGAATGTCCGCAGCCATGGTGGCCTTCTACTTGTTTCCTATTCCTAATTGATGCATCCCAACAGTCATTTGATTATGAGTCATTTCTTCCAGAAGATGTCGTTGACTTCTCCTTGTATTGATGATCATTTGGGTGCATGACGTGTGATTATTGTCAAGTCGGATGCTATGTGATAAACTTTTGAACTTTCTTCTTCTGCTGTTACACCTTTTTTTGAATGACAGATGTAGTAAAATCAACGAGAGCACTGGTTTTCAGTAATTAATTAGAGTACGTGCAATGTGTGAAGTGTTGTGCAATTGCATGGAATCGCGTCGGAGGTATGCACGCCTCCGGCGACTGAGCGACTCAGTCGTCGCGTCCCACTCGCCGCTTTTGTGCATGTCGTCGCGACTGGAGATCGCGCGTTCGTCGCGTGAGCTCTGCCCAGGGCCTAAGGCATACCTCGCGCGATTCCGGTCGCTGCGCGATTTGGCACAACAGCGACTCTTCGTAATTCGTCGTTAATGCGCTGCCTTTGGTCAGAACCTGCTTCGTTTCCAACAACTTACACAAGCTACCCACGTATACGTCCGAGAAGTGCGCATGATAAATTTATAGAAATCTGGCAAATCGCCAAGTCGCGTGAAAGTGGCGATTCGGCCGAATCGCGTGAGGTATGCCTTAGGCCTTACGCAACACCAAACGACAAAGCGCGGTTATTACGACGCATAGGAAGTTAAGGGAAGCGCAAGGGTTACAGGAATCGCAGGAATCAATGAAATAGTATAAGCGCACCCTAATTTGGAAAGCCCTAACCGGGCTAACATCATCCTCGTAAAAACATGCCAATAACCCATCTGAGCAAAGTTACAGGACTAATCAATTGCATTGTTGGGTGCACCAGCATCTCCACTCCCGCGCGGGACTCTGCACCTATTCTGCAAACATGCTCTCTAAATATATCCAATTGATTAAGGCTTCGCCTTTTCCACGCTCGCGGTGGGGAAGAGATCAGAGAGCATGCTCGGAATAGAGGTGCAAAGTCTAGTCGAAGCGGCCGGGCGAGAGCGGAGATGTTGGTGCTCCCGACATTGCAGATGATAAGCCCTGTACAGCGGAGGGACAAACTGTAGAAATTTAATTTAAAAAAGTCATGGAAAGTAAATCACAGCATTGAACGTCAGTGCACCATATTTATATGAAGTTCAAAGGCTTAGCAGAATGACAAGTTTGGGGTGTCCATCATTCTCGGTTTCCCTCGATGAGCTGAGTACTGTGCTTTGCAGCTTCAAAAGATATCAATAACCCGCTTTTCAGTGAAAAGTGCTGTCTGGGCGGGTTGCGAAAGTGGCTGCTGGAGTCAATAATCCATTTGCTGCCGAGATGGTTACGGTGTCTCCACTCACGCGCCAATCACGCTCTAGAGGGCAGGCGTAGGCCGCCCGCCCAAATAGCACTTGTCACGTCTGGGAAAGGGTCATTGTATCTTTTATAGCTGCAAGGCACAGTCTTGGACTTAACTCATCCAGGGAACCGAGAACAATGAATATCCCAAAGTTGTCGTTCTGCCGAGCCGCTGCCTTTAGAGTCAAGGTTAACTCACCAGCCAAGATATCATCTATTTTGAGATTGGGAGATCTGAAAGCGCTCTGCACACACTGTCTTGGAGGCAACGCCCACACAAGTCTGGGCACATGGGGATCTCACGTGGATAGTAATTTTGGTCCTAACTAAGCTACTGCCCAACCCGCAGCTCAGGTAGTGCTCTAACCGCTGAGATATTCCCCTCGAAACTGGACCCCGGGATCGTACTTCGCACAGATTCATGGCGTAACGCGTCGCTCCTCGCGCGAAGCTGTCATGAATCCATGAGAATACGATTCCGGAGTCCAGTTTGGAGGCGTATATCTCAGCCGTTAGTGAGTCACCTGCGCTGCCGCTTGGGCAGTGCCTTAGTTAGGCCCCAAAATCACTTGCCACGCAAAATCGCCATATGTCCAGATCTGCCTGGACGCTGCATTTAAGAAGCTTAAATTTGTGCTTCCCTGGTTCCAAGCATTTCTAAATTAGATAAATCACAAGTACAAGAGTAGAGTACAAGAGGTAGCCAATAGGCTCCACCCCGCGGGGACTGTTATCACGCGAGGCGTTCGCAGATGTGAGCAGGACCTCCCTCTCAGCGACCTGATATCCTGTACCCCTAGTATCTACAAACTTATTAATCGAGAGATCAGCTTGTTTTGACGATGTGTGCAAAGCGGTTCCGAGTCTGCCAGTCACAGAATAGATGATACATAATAGGCCGTCGGCAAGTGCGGGCCGAAAGGTAAAGGTTACTGCATGGCGAAGGCGCAGAAGCAGTATATAGTAAGTTTCAACTCTGTTTAGGCGGAAATTGGACTGGCGGGAATCCGCTTCGCAACGATTCGCACCGCTTTGCAGTGTGCGTCTCTTCATTCTAATCTAACTCGCTGAGCCGGTGGCGATGCGGACGCGCTGCTCCACTTGGGATGTTTCGCCTACTCCGGATTGGAAAAGACTGTAAGTTGAGCAGGCGCGAACGCGGCAAGCGCGTATCCTCACCGTTGTACAGTCTGCTCCAATCGGGATCAGGCCGAACCGTCAGCGTAAATTTGAGCGCTCGCAGCGCTAGCGGTCTGCGCTGCATATGCGCGCTGTCGGAGAGAGCCAGATTGAAGAGAGACCCTAGTGACACGGGCTCCCGCCATGCCAATTTTGGCCTGGTTGGGTTGGGATTGGGGCAGACTGTAAATCCTGCGCCTCGTGCGTTCTGCACTAAAAAAAGCCGCGTTTGCACACAAAGGATTGCGCCTTCGTCCTGTAGGTGCCAGACTTATCAGCTTCAACCGATTCATCTCCACTCAATCGCTATTGGTCAAGCACTGAACTGATCAATGCGAATGCGTGAAGAGGATGAAACGATTGAACCGGATAAGTATGGCACCTACCAACAGTTCCGCAGTGGGTGACGTAGCTGGAGTCAGAAAGGTCTCGCATACGTTTCTTAGGCATATTCCAAACACATTTCTTCTTCATTATCACGTACGGTCTCTCCCTACGTTCTTCCTGTAAGTGTGGGACCCTGCCAGATAGTGACAATCGTTTTGTTGCGGCCACCGCGCAAGTTTACACCATGAATGGATGCTCAATAAATCCTTAGATCGACAGAGACCCTTGCAGAAGAGCTAATCAGGCTCACTAAGAAAATGACGTACAAAATGCGATTAGCAACAACACGTAGGAGACAGAGGACATTGTTGCACGTGATGAGATTTTATTTTTGTACAAGCTGATAACTTCGAAGAGCGGATTTCAAATCCCACAGACCATTTCTACAACGAACCGGATTTTCAAAGTGTCCATATTAGAAGCGATACCTTGGATGCTTGGTGAATATATAACTCATCCAGGCATTGTTGCTAATATCATGCCATACAGAAGTTTTGGATGCTACAGAGACGAAAATTCTTTGTAGTTCATAATAAAGTACAATGAACTATCACACAAGAATCGAAAGAGGAAAATCATTGCGTTTTTACGATGAGTTCAGCACTCGTTCAAAAACATCATTACGTAGATGTTGAGTAAAGTGAGGAAGCTGAGACATATGTGCATGTAGCAGACCAAAGCTTCGTTGAGTATCAATGTGAAACGCGGAAAGCTAATCGTGTAAAGTGAATTAAAGTAAACTCCGATAAGGTTGAAGCCAAAATCAAAAATCAACTAAGCAGCAAAAACGAAAACTTCCATTAATTTGCGCGTACCTAGACAATGATGTTATAACCTCACATAGATGTTTATGCAAAGAATGGTAAGACAAAATTCAAAACTTTCCGGAAACCATCAAGGAGAAGCTCAGTGGAAACGGAACTGCTGCACTGTGTGCGCCGCCATGAGGAAACGACCCGATCGATAAGGAATGCTTACATATGCAACCACACGCTGGTTCAAAACCAAGCATCTGTATATACACAGAAGACAAGAAAATCGATCTTTCTACTAACTCTGTAGTTTTTGATCGGAATGCTCTGACATCATGTCGACGTGATCATAATTAGACCAGTGCGTCAAGCAGATGCTTGTATCCTTTATCTTTTTTTCTTAACTATTTGAATATATATGATTCGTGTTCAACTTATCTGCCGTTCTTGCTCTCTATGAAAGAGTCATACTCCAGTTAGTTCAAAATCTTTGTGACGATTTCGACAACTTCTCTTGCTCGTTCTCAGATAGTGTTTACTTTCAGTGATGTCAATGCGGATTGAGTGCGTGCCAAATTATCGAAGTTTTTCTATTATAAAGCGTATTTAGCTTCATCTTCCCAATTTAAATGCTTATGTATCGCAAAACAAAACATTGGCTCTTTAGCTGTTCCATTTCGAAAGCGGGTCAATATCTCGCAGTTTGCTAGTCTAGAATGATGGTTATCTTTCAGCTAGATACTCATCTTTTGGTCGTTTACGTCTCCTCCACCGAATTCACTGCCGAGTCGCAATTATCAACAGGATGAATAAACGTTGTATTATTTTTTGTGTTTAGTGCGTCTCTTCCGGGAATATGGACCAAGTCCTTCTAGAAAGAGGAACAATAGGTATTTGGGTTGCAATTTTCCATATTATTTGTGCCTTGCATCAGTCTAATTTCTCGAAATAGGATGCGCTGGATAAAGTAATAACATCATTGAAGTTATGGTGAAAAACCTAATTACCAGTCTTTTTTTGATTTTTCAGGAGATTCAATCGGTCTTGTAGGTTGCTTGCAGCCGTATTCGTACCTTCTATTCAACATACATATAATAGATTAAAGTCGCATCATTTCCCAATCTCTAACATCATACGTCTTTCCTTATCACCTTTCTATACCAAACTTTCATCCAGGCACAATCGAAACAAGTTTGACACCACTCATTTATCGGTGTTCTGCCTCAGTCCCTTATCAAATCGCTGAAAAGCTACTAAAAGCATCTAGTCCTTGTAGTGACTATTCAACTGAATTTTCAATGAATTTGCTATTTTGGTCGAAAGGTAAGCGTACGAATGATTTCAGTTGCCAAATTTGATATTTTTGCGAACCTTCCTTCATGTCTTGTAGTTTATTCTCTGGCAGCCTTAGTAACTGCGTTTTTATCGCTGTAGTGTCACTACTTACTAGAGTCTACTGATGTATGTTTGATAATTATCTTGAAAATCTTTATGTTTCTTCGTCTTATACCGAATTCATATTTTAGAGTCACATCCAGCAGCGATGAGAACGTCGCTATCCTGCAACTCCGGTTTGTCACGAGTTTTTGACAGCTAAGACCAGTCGCACATCCATTTCTGATTCAGAGTCGGAAGGTGATTTCGCAGACGAAAACGTTGGTCTCATCACCAAAACGAAGAGGAAGGGCAAAAATAATGTGAGTCATTGCTCATGGGCATCGATTTTGACGGATGTTTCCAACGCATTCCCATTTTGTGTTTACAAGTCCATCTCTTTGTGTGTATCGAGATTAAATTATCTGCATGTAACCTCATACACGCGGAAAACTGCCACTGTCACAAATGGAGTCTAGCCGGATAGGACTGTTTTCCTCTAAAAAGCAAGCTCTATCTTGCATTAGGTCCCTGAAGGAAGACCTACGAATATTTCGTAATCACATCTCATTTGTCCATTTTTGGAATTGAAACGCGATCTTCACAGTGGTTTTTCGACTAGGTTGTTGATCTTGAGCCTATATTCCTACTGCTAGTTTTGCTTCCTGTGTGAAGTAGACCTAACAGGCGGTCGGGCAGGAGGCAGCAAAGGCCTGCGCTTCTGCAAGGATGTACCTGAGAAGCTTCAGAGTTCCTCGCGCTTCCAATTACTTCTTCGCACCTCTAAGTACCTATTTAAACTTTTCAAGTGTGGTACATTGCGAGATATAGGTTCTATGTTTTGTATCCAAAGCTAATGAGATAGTAAGTTTTGAGAAAACTTTGTAGAATTAGCCCATCAACATTGAAGGCGGTATAAAAATTGGAATTTTGAGTAGATATGGAAGTATAACTTGGTCCATCAAATCTTCCAGCCGGAACGTTCAGCATATTCCTGTAACTTTTTCGTCATGCCGATTATAGCTGAAATTGAAAAAAATTGCAAGATTTTCAACTTAATTCAAAACAAAACACTCGTCAAGAAGCTTTTTGTTTGATTTTCTTGCTTGTAAAGTAATCGAAGGTGCGAAGAATGATTAGAGGCGCGAGAGAGTCTGGAGCTTCTCAGGCACGTCCAGAAGCAAATGCGGCCAGCCTTTGCTGCCTCCTGCCCGACGTCCGACCTAACATCTGATGTTCTATATCCTCGTGATTTCATACTCTTGCTGCGTAATCGCTGCAGATGTGTTAGTACAACACAACAATCCACGAAAAAGGAAGAAAAAAATTTCACTTTTGCCTTAGAAACATGCCTGAAGCATAGCAAATGGCAACACAGCGACTAGGTGCATCGGCTTCTAATTACCAACACTGAATAAGGCCTCGGACAGAGTTCAAGCGATTTGATCGTCGCGATCCAATCGCTACAAGACAAGTGTTACGAGTTCATGGCATGCCGATCTCTTGTATCTGTATTTCGGTTGTGATAGTTAGTCACGATTAGTTGTGTTGGAAAACTATCACAACCGAGTTGCAAGAAGATCAGCATGCAATGATATTGTTACAGTTGTATTGTCGCGATCAATCGCGACGATCAAATCGCGTGAACTCTGCCCGAGGCCTAAGACTAAAGTAGCGTCCGAATTCTAAAAAGGGTAACATGTCCAAGCTGTTGTTTCTTTGGAAAAGTATAGGAAAGGGAGGGGGCTTCGCCAACTCTACTTGCTGTGAAGTGCTGTTCCGCAAGAAATCTGAAAACATTTGGATTTCAGCTGGAACGAACTCCTCTACTGCATCGTCCAATGTCATCCGCAGACCCAGCCACTGTAGAATTTGGGCGTCGACTAGAGCGCGAGAGTGAAGAGAACAGGATCTCCAGTGAAGACGATGGAACTAATACAGGTTTGTTCGAACTCCCTATTGTCTTTTTGACTACTAGTGAACCAGTAATCTAAAGGTGCTATATGGAAGAGCGTTCGCTTTCCTGCCCTCGGTTTCTCGCTATTTGCAGATTTATGAACTGAGCTAACGATTCTTTATATAGCGGATTTTCAACATTCTTTGGTGTGCATTCTACCAGTCTGCTGCGGGTAGAGGACTATATTGTCCCGCCAAAGTGAGAGGGTCCCGCGCGGACATTGCAGCAGATACTCAGCCTGTGCATGTATGGTAGGTAGGTGCCAGAGTAAGGTAGGTGCCAGAGTAAGCGAATATTTTGTTCAGGTTGGGGTCCCGTGCAGAATTGACGTCTCTCACCATGCTGGCGTCAATCCAAGTGACGTCAATTCTGCACGGGACCCCAACTTGAACAAAATATTCGCTTACTCTGGCACCTACCTAAGCGAATATTTTGTTCAAGTTGGGGTCCCGGGCAGAATGGACGTCACTCACCATGCTGGCGTCAATCCAAGTGACGTCAATTCTACGCGGGACCCCAACCTGAACAAAATATTCGCTTACTCTGGCCTACCGTAGGTGACAGAGTAAGGCTGCGTTCATATTGATCCCGAACTTTCAGATCAGTAATCGCAGCCTAAGCGAATATTTTGTTCAGCTTCGTTCAGCCGCAAAAGGTGCACAGGACTAACGTTGATTCTGCGAGGGACCTGCAGCTGAAGCAGGCCTTGGCAGCAGGAGAGATTATGCAGCAGACATTAATTCTGCGCGCCTTTTGCAGCTGAACGTCCCACTTTCGGCAGCGTATAGTCCCCTATACCAGGTGTAGTTCGTTCGTAAAAATCATTTCGTAAAAATCATGATCATTCCGCTTGGACACCAGGTTCAGTGTGATGTGGACCCATAGTGAAACCATTCAAGCTTGGGAGTTTTCCCAACCAACCCATAATCCCTGTTTTGAGGTGGTGAACAGTATGGGAGCACAACTGGCGCCGACTTCAAGGCTGTTGTTGACGAAGCTATCCGGGCTATCCACAACGGCGTTTTCCCTGAAAGAATCGCCCAAGGTTCTAGCGGTTCCTACTTCGTTAAGAATATGCAAGGGGTAGGTGTTGTTACCGCAGCGAAATATAATTTGATGAAAAACCGTTGAAGAGCCGTATCTATCTCGACGTGTTCCCGATATCATGCTCATTGTTGAGGGCATCTTCTTTACACTTTCAAACTGAATGTTTCAGAAGATCATTGGAGTTTTCAAGCCGAAAAATGAGGAGCCTTATGGTCATCTGAACCCTAAGTGGCTAAAATGGTTCCACAAGATTTTTCTGCCATGCTGTTTCGGAAGAAGTTGTCTCGTGCCAAACCAGGTATGTAGGCATTGATTTTATGAATACAATCCCCTAAAATTTACAGCGTAAGGTTGATTCATTTCATGCAGGTTAGTCCAGTTTAATTATTTATTTTTCATTGCGATGAAGGTAGGTTTGTCGCTTTTGGAGTGCACTTTTCTTCTGCTTTTGTCTTACGTCGATGTTGTGTTTTTCATTTTGCTCCTAATGCATTGGATTTTCGCAGTCTTTCACGTCTCATTTATGTTTCGATATGGTAGTACGCTCTTCATTTTAAGCCTGCTTCATGATCTCCCTTTTGAGACTGAGTTAGTATGTCTTTGTTGCTTCTCCGAGTGATGACGTTGGAAGATGTTGTTTTGTACGTATCTCGTTTGTTTCTTTTCGTTGGATCTTCCCTCGATTCGTTACTTTTCGTTGTTGGCATAGGCATATGGACTCTTGCGCCATATCAACCACCTCAAAGATATACTACACACGGAAGTCAAAACACTTTGGCTTCTAAGCCATGGCCCATACCTTATATTGTGACCAGGGACAAGCGTGGGGTGTGGCCCGCCACACTTGAGTGGTCGTAGAGGGGTCAGGAAGAGGGGGGTCTTTATCGGGGTGATAGTGATGTTATCGACTTTATGTCATCAACAATGTCTAATAGGCCCCTATTGTACGTACCAGCACCAATGTTTTGGCCTACAGTAAGCATATCAAAAGAATCCTGAAAGCATAAGAGAACCATTATAATTAGCATGTCAAATAACCCCTGAGGGCCAAGTTTAAGCGAATTTTGTGGTTTTCAAATACTGGGACACTCAAGTGAGGTGGTCATTTTCAACATGCTAACCCCGTTTGAGGGTGAGTAAACTCCTTCTTTTTACACTCATTACAAGGTACTACTACTTCTTTGCTCGTATTAGGAATCCCACTCCAACTAACCTTCAAACTCTGAAATTAAAAGCAGGTCAAAATCTCTTTCGTCCCATTTTCGCTTTCAGTTTCTCAAAATAGAGAAGACCAATCAGGTTCAAATCACTTTTGTGAAAGTTACGAGGATCAGCCTATCGAATATACTTGTTCTTGACGCCTTCCCCTTTCACGTAGTAGCGCAGACTTAACATATTACCGTAATCCAATATTTTCGCAATGTTTTCATTTGCATAGCTAAGGAAAAACGACTATATCTTTCTTTTGGAGAAACAATTTTGTGTGAAATTCTTGCTGTGTGCAACCATATAAAAAAAAGCAGAGATTTGAATGCTTTGAAGGTAAGTTAATGGGATTGTGCACATCCCATTAATTTGCCTCCAAAAAAGAATTTTAGCGAACAAAAATACATATAGTCTGATAGCCTGAGTCTTGTAGTTTTCATAGGAGTAATTTCGGCCTGATTCATCTTCTTCGCTCCGAGTAAAAGCTGGTGAAAGCGCAACCATTGAAAGCGAAAAATGGGACAAACGAGATTTATTTGAAGCAGAATTTATGGTATGGGAAAATAGGAAGTAATATCTGCTCCAAGACGAAGGCGGTCGCCCAAATAGGTTGAAAGCGTGCAAGGCCGCGGCGCGCGGCCAATTGTCGACCACAGGGCGCGCGCACGCTCGGTCAGCGGTCATCCACGCGGGCGTGCGCGCGACCCGTGGTTGAAAATTGCCCGCGCGCCACGTGCGCGTCAGCCTTGCATGCTCTTAACCTATTTGGGCGACCGCCTTCGTCATGGAGGAGATATTAGTGCTTTGTATTGGGTACAAAAAGAGTTAGCTAATTCACTTTTGAGATATAGTTAATTATCTCCGAAAATGTTCACTTCACTTGGGTGGCCCAATATTGGGAATCTGGGCCCACGGTGGTTACTTGACATGACAATTTCGAATATGTGCCTAATTATTGCATGGTAGAGCCTTTATGTCATGCCTACGGAAGAGAAGATGGGGAGGGGGTATTGAGACAGAAGATAGGTGGAGGAGGGGGGGTCGTATCCGGCGTTTGTCTGCCACACCTCTTGCTCGACCCTGGTTGTGACTGCTGCGATTACTCAGCGCGAGATTATGAATTGTTGGTCAGTATTATGCTCTTAGTTTCTAACGTCATGTGGTGTTGAGCCTGAATCCTACCATTACTGCGTCTGACTTTATAGTGTGGAACAATTAATGGTAACTGTGATATATGATCGTCTCCACGATTCGTGCAGAGGTGTATTGCAGACTTTGCCTGATAACACAGGTAAACTTGTTGAACCTCCACGTCATAGCCTTGTTTTTTGTACTCGCTCGCTATCAAAAACCGCCACGCTGTGAGTTGGCAAAACCCCGCCTCTACACGAATCGAGGAGCCGATGATACATTGTATGCGGCCAATGACTAGGTCCTCTGTATGCAGCCAATGGCAAGGTTAACTTACCCATTTGATGCTGAAAGACGTAGGCTGACTCTAACATGCGATTTGATTTTTTTTCTAATGTGATGTTCTGACAGGGAATTTTCTGCACACACTCTAAGTTTGGAAACGTTCTACGAATCACCGCTTTGGATTACGATCTCGCTTTATACCTCTTTCGTTCCAAGATTTTTGCTAGAGAATGAGATAGAATCTAGGAAAGAGTAGGTATGTTTATACATTAGGTTATTATAACTTTCTTTCACAAAGAAATCCAAATAAATATGTTAACGTATCGGTAGTTAGATTCATATAGGCCTCTATGTCAAAGCATAATCACACCTTAGTAACACGAGAAACAAGGTCTTTGACGACTACGGTGAAGGAATACACTTTGCTTCAACCAGGTCGGCGGCTGGAAGGCGGGGCTCCGTGACCTAATCAAGGGTTGAAAATGATTAGAGCATGTTCGCGAGGGAGGCGCAGGCTGCGTTGCGGACGCGAGCAGACGCCTTGTAGCTCATGACCCCGTCTTCCAGCAGCCGATCTGGTTGAAGCAAGGGGTACCTAGCGAGAGGTTTTGCTTTGCTGTCTTCATTCCTGACAAGAAGTCGTTCTTATTAGTCTGGTAGTTGTGCTCGCTACGATGTAAAGGAATTCATAGAGAGACTGCAGTGGCTAATCTGCATACTTTTGTGCTCCTGAATTCCCTTGAATCAGAGCTCAACACGGCTGTCTTCTTGCCTAAACGAATATGGTATTTTTTTCTCATTGAAGGTTTTCTGGCGCTCCTTGGCCCAAACCTCTAGAACTGCGTTTATTGCCTAATTTAGTCGGAAGAGTTACGGTCTATGCCAACGATGCGCTCCTTCCGACCAGCTAGACATACCGCCTGAGGGGTAGGGAAACGAACTTCGCCAGGTTTGAACCTCCTTCGCAGACTACTGGTCCTGCAATGACATGCACAGTACTTTAATAGGACCAGTTGCCAGCGAAGATGGGGTCAAACTGGCGGAGTCGCTCCCCTACCGCCGCCTGAGCGTTCAAAGCTGCCGCATCGATCGGTCGCTGCGCAATGCCCACGCGCTGCGGATGCGCAGCGTGGGGGGAGGGGTCAAACTTAAAGGCACCGTCTACCCAAATTCTGGCAGTGGATCGGCAAAACTTGACAACCCAGGATCTTCACGCAGTAGATTCCTTATCATTCAAGTATGAAAACAAAGCAATCCCGGTTGCACAGCATGCCTTCCCTGTCAAGAAAATCGCTCTCAAATTTACACGCGCAAGCCAACCTTACACGCACCCGGACGAGTTGACAACTTCCTTCTCACCATTGGAGGCTACCCGCCGCAATGCTATAATAATTGGGTCCCGCAACAATTCAGCGTCATCAGCCTTGCTCCACTCGTCCAATTTTGAAGAATACGGGGTTGAAAAACGCTCGCTTTCGCCGTTTTTGAGCTCTCTAAAGTGAGTTTTCGTGATCAGCGTATTAAATAACCCTAGGTAAGCGAAAATTTGACTAGGTTGAGATTTGCCGAGCCACTGCCTTTAAGGTCCATGTTTTTATCGCTTCCAGGCCTTCTGAAGGCCCTGATTTCGAATATAGAGTCAAGACTACGCGGACCTCGAGAAGTACGCTTTGCAAGTCGCGGGGCTGCGGCGCTGATTTACGCCGGGCGCGTCATTTGCAAATTTGCAAAGTGGGGGGGGGGGGGGGACCAGCTGGGCGGAGTGACCAGCGATTCTAGATTCATTCTTAGAAGCGATTACCTGTGATTGGGACAGGAATCTTGTTCGGAGGACGTCATCTTTGTATATGTAGAGTGTATTCGCAAAGTTAGGGGGGTGCCTTTGCGAATACATATCACCTGCAACTCAACTCCTCATACAACGAACCTCAAGCATGTTGATCATATGACTTTACTAAGAAATGCAACTGCGAACACAACTTGTACGTAATTTACACCACCGAGAATGCCTTGATGTGGATGTTTTGGACTTTAATCTTCATAGTTGTATAGTCGTCTTCATTTCACTAGTTAGTCAGTGGACGGACTCAAATTCGAACAAGAGCAGGCTGGCGGCAGAGCGCGACACCTGAATCCTCAGTTCAGGTTTTGCGCATGTTTCTTTACGGTTTTTCACTGTAGTTGTTTGTTAGTCTTCGTGCTATAAGTATGTTTTCAAAATACTTACTTAGATACTTAGATGGCCCATCTTCACGTGGCGTACGGGCCTCAGCATAAAAGTTTCCATTTATCCTTGTCCCTCGCTTCAGGCATCCACGATCTTCTTGGTTGACGTCGGTGGCTGCGTCCACGAGTTCCAGGTGCGAAGTTCGTGTCCAGCTGATTTCTCAGCTGGTCCATCCGTTCCACGAACACGTCTGCCCATCTCGTTGGTGGTCTTCCTCGGGGACTTTTCGCTTCGCGAGGAATCCACTCAGATGTTCTTAGTGGCCATCTGTCGTCTGTTCTTCTCATGATCCGATTTGCCCATCGGTGTTTCGCTTTCGCAACGTATTCCGCTGGTTCACGAATACGGGACATTCTTCTCATATCCGTACTGCGAAGTCGGACTAAATGTTGCTTGCTTCGGGTAATCTTCAGAAGACTGCGCTTGAGCGCTCTGTGGGTGGTCCGTAA